CTCTAGCATCACTTCCTCATGAACTCTTTGGGCACCAGGTATCTCTCACCTGTAATACATAGCACAGAGGCTCCATTATATCAGGATGTGATGATTTTCTTAATACCCATCTTCCCCGCCTGCTTTAGGCAACTGTTACATTCCTCTCACCCAATAGCTGCTCAATAAATACTTGCATCCATAGAAATACATATATATTCAACTAGTCATTGGTTTTACAAGCCTATGAGAATATTCAGGTCTACAGTAGGCAAAAAGTATTACTTCTGCCAATTCTGTGCTAGGCATTGAGCTTGGTCCTTGTGTCCTATAGTTAGTCTTTGGAATGAGTCTATGAGTTAGCAGTCATCTCATTTTCCAAATGAACAGTGGCTTGGGTAATTAATTCTGCTGGAGGTCATTGAATTGTTAAATAGCAAAACTTTAACTTAAAACTATACATGTCAAAATTCATATTTAAAACTATCCCAGAATGACAAAAGAGAGGCAAAGACATTATGATCTGTAATCATTTTGAATGTACGTGATAAACATAAAAAACTGACTAAATGATGTTATACCTTTAAATCCATTCTCATTAAACTGGATTTCTCAGTGGCATCTTCACCACAGTAAGTCCATTATCTGGCACAAGGCCAGCCATATAGGATATGTTCAGTATAATCTGTTGAATGTATTTAAACTTAAAGCAACATTCCTGACATTCAAATAAAATAAAAAGGATGTAGTCAGAGCAAGCAAACAAATAAATAGGGAAGGGGGGCTGGAGAGATGACTCGGTGGTTAGGAACAGTGGCTGCTCTTCCAGAGGACGCAGGTCCCATTCCAGCACCCACACTGTAATAGAAAGAGAGAGAGAGAGAGAGAGAGAGAGAGAGAGAGAGAGAGAGAGAGAGAGACAGAAACAGAGAGAGAGAAGAAGGAAAAGAGGAGGGGGAAAGGGAAAGAGGGAAGGAGGGAGGTAGAAAGGGGGAAGGAGGGAGGGAGGGAGGGAGGGAAGCAGGCAGGAAGGACAAAAAAATTTAAATTGAAAAAATGAAACAGGAGAGACAGAGTAGACACAAATATGTCACCTGCCCATGGTGTGCTACAGCCATTTTAGATGTGTTTTAAGTACTTTCACTTGGGATGGTATCTTGTGTATACCAATGTACCTACAATAACAGTATGGCATCATTGTTTCCTTCCTGTTTTGCTTATGAGAACCTGACACTCAGAAACAGTGTGAGCTCAGGGCCTAAGCTACACCTTAAGCTGCAGGTCCTCACATTACATTGTGGCTCACATCAATATAGTTATGTTAACACAATATGTTAAGTGTGGCTCCAAGAAACACCACAGAAGCCCTTCCAGGAGAGCCTCGGCACTCCCTGCAAAGCTTCTAGGAAGCTGCTAGCATGTGTCACCTTGCTCAGAAACCTGTTCTCCTGACTGACAAAGAGAAGGAGTGGAAGACAAACCACATGTCTCATCACTTCCTATTTTGGTGTCAGTTATTTGTGCATGCAACTATCTCATGGCTCTTAATCTGAAAGTCACTGAGGAAAAATAAAACTGAGGGGAAATGCTTTGTTAAAACAGGAGTGTAATCGGACTTCTAGTTTCTTCCAAATCAGTCAACCAACCCTTTTAATTTACTACAGTCCACATACTCTGCAGTGATATACAGAAAAAGTAACAAATGGTACTTTCCATGGAAATGACTAAGAATAATGAATGGCTAGAGAAAATGGAAACAATGGCTGGAATCCCATTATGATGCCAAACTACACAGTTTGTGAAATGTAGAACAACAGGAAACTCAACCTCATATTGACTGACTACTCCAGCTTTCAAGGTGGTGTTGAATTCTCTACAATGCAGAAACCCAAAAGAATCTTTCTATATGTTGGAAGCATTTAAATGAAGTGGCACCATCTCCTCAATAGTGTCTGTCCAATCATTAACTCATTAATTCTTGTGACGACCTTTCTTCTCATAAAAAATTTCTCTGTATACTCCCTAATACATCACAATCATCACATGAGTAGGTACACTTATGTGTCTGAGTGTTCAGGTGGGTGCATGTGTGTGTAAGGTCGGAGGCCAGAAGTCAACCTTGGGTGTCATTCCTCAGGCCTCATCTACCTTGCTTTTCTGACACAGCATCTATTACTGACCTGGAGCTCACCTAGAAGGTTAGGCTGGCTGCCAAGCAAGCCCCAGGAATACTCTTGTCCTGCCTTCCTGGCAGAGGTACTCAAAGGGTGAGGCCTGGATGCCTGACTGGGTCAAAGAGCCATGCTGAAGGAGTGGGTGATAAGAGCCGGTTGTTTGCCACTGACTGAAAGTCCCTACCTCCTATCTTGTTGTAGTAGTTAATTTTCTATTGCTGTAATAAAATACCATATCCAATGCAAATTACAAAAGAACACACTGATTTGGGCTTGCAGTTTCAGGTTAGAGTCCATGAGGGTAGAGCAAAGACATGTCAGGCAGCAGGAACAGCTGAGAGCTCACATCTTGATCCACTAGCAGGAGACAGAGAGCACACTGGGAATGGCATGAGCCCTTGGAAACCTCAAGTCTGCCTCCAGTGATACCTCTTCCAACAAGGCTACACCTCCTAATCAAACAGTTCCACCAACTGGGGACCAAGAATTCACTCTCACCCAGACCACCACACTTGTCCAGGTCCCTCTGGGAGGACCAGGTCTGATCTGTCTCATATTTCATCATGTCTCTCTCATCAGCTGCATGGTTCTGACATGCAGATACTGTTCATCAGGTGGTGCTTGGCAAAGCTGATATCTTTCTCTGCCTTGCCTACATTTGAAGATCCACCTCTTCAGAGTCCAGACCTGATTATGGGATAGATTTTGCCTTGGATTCTCCTTCATTTTCAGTAGAAGGTCTTCCCACATTGCACCCCTCAATGCCCAGTACCCAACCTTGTGCTCTCCACCCCTGCTGAATACAGAAGGCAGCTTAGGTAGAAGGGGCAGGACCATGTGGCCATGTGTTCTGACAGGTCATCAGTTCCAGCTGCAGCTCACCTATCACCAGCTGTTCCCCCCCACACACTTATTAATCTTACCTCTGTGCCTTGGCCACCAGATCTACACTCCTTCCTAAGCCCCCACTCAGAGCTTCATACCTGCCTTTGGTGACATGTGGCATAGGAACTGAGAGAAGAGCAGATAGAGTGGCCATGGGTCTGGTCCCTTGACTGGGGTCTCAAGAAATCTGGTCTGCAATTATCTGGTAGAGGTATGCCTACTGATGTGGGTTCATCTGCTATGGGCCCAGCCTTCTTAGTGACCTAGAGCTTTCGGAACACCCTGGCAAAGGTTTGTGCTTCCCCTGATATTGATGCTGAAGTCAGAGGTTGTTTTCACTGTAGTTCTGCTACCTACACCAGAAGATTCGCCAGGTTATCCACTAAAGCCTATGTATGTAACTTAACATCTGTTATGGCTCTTTTCTAACAAACACTTGTTAAATGTACACATATACTAACATGCCCAGGACTGTCAGATAGTCTTCAAGATGTTGCCTATACTAACAGAGAAGATAAAAATAAAATTAGTTAAGAATAATGGCAATGATCATTTTGGCCAATCTCAGCCCTAATCCACATGAACCTGTCCAGAGTATTATTAGCCCAATAGTTTTCTCTTCCTAGGAGACAAGTAACATCAGGCACCCTCAGGGCTTGCCTGTCTCCCATGCCCAATCAGAAAAATCTTGTGATCTAGAAAGGACATAAAGAAGAGTGATAGGGAGAGTAGCATTCAGAGATCAGCACTGATGCCAGCATCTTACATTATAATTAAGGTGATCTCTGCCCACTCCCTTCTTGAGATGGTCACACCATGTAGCCACAATGAGCTAGAACTCCTGACCCTCCTGACCCTCCTCCCTCAGTCTCCCAAGTGCTGAGGTTACAGGTGGAACCTTGACAGCTTAGGGATTCCCTTGAACATTGCAAATTCAAAAAAGTTTTAGACAAACTATACCCTGTTAATTTCTCTGGGTAACTGGAAAGCAAACAAATAAGACAAAAATATGTCTCCAGTAAAACATCACAGCTTAGGTTGGTAAAGGGTGTTTTGGTTTTTTGTTTGTTTGTTTGTTTGTTTGTTGTGGGGTTTTTTGTTGTTGTTGTTGTTTTCGAGACAGGGTTTCTCTATGTAGCTTTGCGCCTTTCCTGGATCTCGCTCTGTAGACCAGGCTGGCCTCGAACTCACAGAGATTCGCCTGCCTCTTGCCTCCCGAGTGTAAGGGTCAGATAAAATGATTAAAGGCGTGCACCACCACCGCCCAGCTGGTGTTTTTTTTTTTTTTTTTAAAGACAGTGGTAGGACTCAAGAGATGGCTCAACTGTTAGTGCATGTACTGCTCTTGCAGAGGCCCTGAGATTGATTCCCACACCCACGTCAGGTAGCTCACCAATGCCTGTAACTCCAGCTCCAGGGGGGTCTAATGTCCCCTTCTCACCTCCATAGACACCTTCATTTATATGCACATACTTACACAACGACATACATATAATTAAAAAATAAACAAGTCGTTTTTAAAACCAATGAAGTATTACTTAGTTACTTTCTATTGCTGTCCTAAACACCATGACCAAGGCAACTGGTAGAAGAAAGGGCTTATTTGGGGCTTTTGCTTTCCGAAGACGAGGAGTCCATCCCCATCCCAGTGGAGCAGCACCACAGCAGGCAGGTGTAGCCACTGGAGCTGGACGCTGGAAGCTGGGAGCCGAACAGAAAGCAGGGCAACTAGGGAATGACACACGTCTTTAAAACCTAAAACCCGTGGAGCAAATTTCTTAGAATGTTAAGAATTTTCACCCAGAATGGGTATTTTGGACTTAGACTTTCTTCGTGGCCTCTTTTCTTACTGATTGTTATTGTATGCATATATGCATATGTATATACATTGTGTGTTCCTAAATATAACCTTTTGAATCCATAAAAAAAAAAAAAAAACCTAAAACCCTTCCCCAGCGAGAAACTTCCTCAAGCAAGGCCACACCTCCTAAACCTCCCTAAACAATTTGTCACCAACTAGGGACCAAGTATTCAAATGCCAAAGCCTATGGGAGGACATTCTTATTCAAACCACCACAAATTACCACCTTTTACAGAGAAAATTAAAATGGCCCAGTGGCTCAGTTGCACCAATTTCACGTTGACCTTCCAGCTGATTCTTCATCTGAACTAAAGAACATAGACATGATTCGCGCTTATTTTTGAAAGTGAAGGGATGCTTGCCTCCCTCAGTTTGACTTGGCAGCCTGAAGTTCCCCCAAGGCCCTTTGAACTGGATTGTTCTTGGACCACATGTATTTTTTATACATTTAGAGAATTGGAGTTGCTACTCCAAAGAAAAGAAAGATTAATTCTGGCTGACAGAACAAACTTAGTAGAATGGAAAGGAGGACGTGAGAAATGGCAGCTGCCACTCTGAGCACACACAGGCCTTCTTCCCTGGACACTTTACAAAAGCTCTCTAACGTGTTCTGTGGGACAGCCAGCCCCGGGCACCAGACCACAGACCTGGAGATAAATCACAGAGCAACAGAGGCCATGTTCTTGGGAACAGTGATTTTTTTTTATTTTTTTTTAAGTGCTCTGAATTAAGTTTTTATATTTCTCGAGAGTATGTTGGTGTCTGTAAACCTAAGTAAGAAACTCTTTTTCTTAGCAATCTTCTGCCCCTCCGTTCCTGAAAGAGGTCCAGAAGGAAGCCAGTCTGGCTGCTCCCAGGGAGGATTAAGGGGAATTCACCCCATGCCAATGCTTGGACTATCATTTTATCTGACCCTTACACCGGGCCTCCACAGGAAGCAGCAGGCTGATGCTACCTACCTTCAGTCGGTATTTTAACATATGTCTGTTATGCATATATTGTCTGTCAAGCTACGTAGTCTTTGCTGGAGATAACACGGTGAATTATCTAGATGTGTCCTGAGTTCCCTTAGGGCTCACACTTCTTGAGAAAGGGAGATGAAGGAGAAGATGATTTCTAGGAGAGAGAGAAATGATAAGGGAGACCTGCCTTAGAGAGGAGGCCGGCCCAACGGCAGCTATCCGTCTCCTGGGTAGCTCCAGTTTGTCCTCCTGTCCCCTCCAGCCTCTATCGCCGCCTTGCTGTCCTCAGAGTTTCACCTTCCCTCCCAGCCGCCCACCTCTGGTTCCTACGTGCTCTCTCGCGAGCCGCACAGGCCAACGGCAGTACTCTGCCTTGCTGTCTCCTTCCTCCTACTGGCTTGGGCAACCCTACTGTCCACCGCCTCCCGCCATGGGCAACGAGGCTAGCTTCCATTCCGAGATGGGCAGTAACTTCGAGCAAGATGAGATTAGAAGGCTGTGCAGAAGCTTCAGGAAGTTGGATGTAGACAAATCCGGCTCCCTGAGCAGAGACGAGTTCATGTCGCTGCCTGAGCTGAAGCAGAACCCACTGGTGACTCGAGTGATCGACATCTTCGACACGGACGGCAATGGGGAAGTGGACTTCCACGAGTTCATCGAGGGCACCTCGCAGTTCAGCGTCAAGGGCGACGAAGAGCAGAAGTTAAGGTTCGCCTTCAGAATCTATGACATGGACAAAGATGGCTACATCTCCAACGGGGAGCTCTTCCAGGTGCTGAAGATGATGGTGGGTAACAACCTCAAGGACTGGCAGCTGCAGCAGCTGGTAGACAAAACCATCTTGGTTGTGGATAAGGACGGCGATGGCCGGATATCCTTTCAAGAGTTCTCTGATGTGGTCAGAGGCATGGAGATCCACAAGAAGTTGGTCGTGCCAATGTGAGTTTTGTGGGGGTTTTTATTTGTCTGTTTGGTTTGGTTTGGTTTTATTTAAAGGCTCCACTCAACATACTTGGCTTTCTTCTCTCACTCAAGATATTCCAGCTACTGTCTCTCCGGCTAGTCCGGAAGTGTTTCCCTCTGCCTCTAACATATCTGTACAGTGTCATTAATTCAACTCTCGATGACGATGGCGACAGACAAGGGGAAGAAGCAGGGAGGGAAATCAGAAATTGAAATAATTCTCATAAATGCCTTTTTCTTTGTTTTAGAGAACACGGTCAAGAAGACTAAAAGCTTAAAAACAAGAAAATGCACATCTTTGCCTTTCTTTCTCAAGGCTGTGTATATGGGAGAAGACTATAATTCTCACGGAGTGTTAGGCACTCTTTTCATTTACTTGTGGCATTCAGACTTTTAACAAATTGTTAACTTCCTACTATAACAACTAGCAAAAAATATATTTATCTTTGCTTAGTATCCTTAGTCACTCTCTGGGCACAAATACCCGAATAACAGGATGCACCTGACTCCTCATGGTCATCCAGAAATGCCTGAGCATGTTTGAAGGATAGAAGTCTAAATGGGGAGATTCTGGCATGGTGCTGTAGCCTGCCAGAAAGTAGTCTCAGAGTTCATGTGCGAACAGCTAAACCTGGACCAAACGGCCAGCCCACCAGTCTCAGTACAACAGGTTTTCAGCCTTGTAGGTTCTGAAAAAGCAGTGTTTTGGTCAGATAGGGCATCCTTTGTTGTACGAATCTTAAGTTCTTATTAATAAAAACAAACCTGGAGCCAGGTATTGGGGTGAATGCTGGAAGATCAGAGAAGCAGAACAAGCCACAGCTACCTCGCCTTGCCAATGCCTCAGCTGATTTTGTTTCCTCAGACTAGAAGCCTCTCAGTCTTCATCCAGAATGAATCTCAGCTGAACTGCTGCTCAAAAGCAGGCCAAAAGCTTCTAGTTCCTGGTTTTCATGCCTTATATACCTTTCTGCTTTCTGCTATCACTTCCTGGGATTAAAGGCTCACTTCCTGGGATAAAGGCGTGAGTCGCCATGCTTGGCTGTTTCTAGTGTGACCTTAAACTCGCAGAGATCCAGATGGATCTCTGCCTCCCAAGTGATAGGATTAAAGGCGTGTGTGCCACCATTTTCTGGCCTCTATATCTAGTGGCTGTTCTGTTCTCTGACCCCAGATAAGTTTATTAGGGTGCACAATATTTGGGGGAACACAATACCACCACAGTCCTCCCCAGCAAGAGCCCTTTCATCCCACACCCAACCTCACCCATCTGGAGAGAATGAGATAGAGTCAGTTTTTCCCCAAGGCAAAATCAGCAGATTCGGGCTGAGGTGGCCTTTCCCAGGATGCTGAAATGCTATTGTTCAGGGTGATGAGTGGTGCAAAGATTGGCAAACATAACAAAAGCTGGTAACACTGGATCAGCTTGCTTCTGAGAACCTGATCTGGTCCCCAGCAGAGAAGCCAACAGTTGTCTTATCTCAGGAAGTTTCTCCTCCACTGTAACATTCAACTTAGAGTTCCTTGTGCCCAAATAATTAGACGAGGATCCTAGGATGTGCTGGCACTTGATTCTAGACAAGATCTAATGTTACACACCTTCTTCTGCAATTCACATAAGGCCTGTTGGTGGCCTAGGATCAGCAATGGGAGATAGTACTTTATGGAAAAGAACAAGCTATGTTCTGTTTTGGAGTTGGTTTAACACTATTATTTGTCCCCACAAATGTCATTAGCTCCCTGAAGCCCCTTATACTATTGTCAGTTCATAGAGTACAACGTGTCCTTGGAAGGGCAGGTTCAGCCCATGCCCCAGCATCTGCCACTTCACAGGTTGCTCCCCGTAAAGAGTCACCTGATACTCAAAATACTGTAATAATGAAATAAACTCTTCCTACACTTACCCAGCTGAGAGACACCACTTAACCATTTCTAGATTTATTGTTAAATTTTGAAGAAGCTGCCAATTAGTCTTGGGAGGTAGGAATCCACAGATTTCATTCCTGGCAAGGTGCCCATCTATCCCAAGGCATACTGCAACACTTTTCATTTTATACTTGGGAATCACAAGGAATAGGAATTCCTGACTCTATAATTCCTTTTCCATCATAAAATATATATTTGGATTGTGCAAATAATGTCATCCCTGTAGCATTGGAGTCAAACCCATTTCATGGCCGGGCAGTCGTGGCACACGCCTTTAATCCCAGCACTCGGGAGGCAGAGGCAGGTGGATCTCTGTGAGTTCGAGGCCAGCCTGGTCTACAGAGCAAGATCCAGGAAAAGCACAAAGGTACACAGAGAAACCCTGTCTCGAAAAACCAAAAACAAAAACAATTAAAAAAAAAAAAAAACCATTTCACAATAGTTAGGACAATTTGAGACCCAAACACCCCAGGGTACGGATTCAGAACAGTGTCACCACAGCTGCTTATTAGCCGGGTAAATATGAGCAAACGAGCTTCTGTGTCTTTCCATCCACGTTTACTTTGAAGATTCAAAGAGAGGAAGTATGTAAAGCGTTTACTAACTTCCTTCCCTTCCCCTCTCTCCCCGTCTGTAAGATGGGTGTGGAAAGGATACTGGCATCCTTTGCACTCTCACTTCTTGACACTTTGCCACAACCACTCTAAAATTAGCTGGACTTCTATGTAATTTGGGCCCAGAAAGAACATGACAGGAACAGATGCCAAGGCCCTCCTCACCATTTATGTGCAAATCACACCACATATTTCTCAACTTGAGACCTAGAACACACTTGAAAGAGAGCCTTTCATCCTAGCCCGGCATATCTGAGAGGAAATGTTAGTAAGAATGGTGAGCATAGCCCAAGAAGATCTCCTGAGGACAGACGTTATTGCTCTGGAAATGCACTCTTTCAAATGGGAAAAAATTTGAAATTACAAACAAGGATTTTATTCAGTTAACTGTTCATATTTAACAAGGAAACTCTTTTGGAGTAGCTGGATTAAGTTAATTGTTCAACCAGTCTACATATCATAGCTGCCCAAAGCTTTGTGGCAATATCCTTGAACTGACTACTTGTTTCTGGTTTTAGAACAGAAAATATCTGGCTAGATATTTGGGGAAATGGAACATATTTACTTTCAAGCTAGAATGCTTTTTCTTCTCTTAGTTAACTGCCAATTTCTCAAAAAACCAATAGTTTCGTGTAACTATTGGCAATAACAATTGGTGTGGATGGGGTAATCAGCTCCTAACTTCTATTATATCATCTGATGAGTGCTGAGGTGGTGTCACCATTGCAGCCTTACAAATGACACGGGCAATCTTGTCCAAGGACATGAGACTGGAAAGAAGAAAGGAAAGACCCAAGACCACAAAGACCACGGTTCCTTTATCCCATATTGAATCCCTCTTGTTCTTAGGGCTACTCTGTTCACTTGTCTCAAATTATTCTTAATAATCTTATTAATGTAGTCTGGTCAATCCAATTTCCACAAGAGGAGAAACCAAGAACTAACGAACTAACTACCTGTCAAGGAGCAAGAGGCCCAGACCTCTTCAGTTTTATGCATTACAAAGAAACAGCCATATTTTAAATGTGTGTGTGTATACATGCGTGTGCAAGTGTACAAGCACAAGTGTGCACATATATGTGAGGACAAGTCCACCCTGGGTTTTGTTACCAGGGACCATTTTAAGAGAGATTATCTTACTGGGACCTGGGGTCACTATTGCAATTAGGCTGGCTGGTCAGTGACTCCATCTTCTCTACTCTGGGATTATAAGCATGCACCACCATGCCCAGCTTTTTAACATTCCAAAAATTGAACTCAGGTCAATTACTAAGGTATCACTGCAGTCCTGGAGACAGTTTTAAGTAACCTTCCACTTTCATCTTAGCTTGAGAAACAAGTGACCATATTTAAACTAAACTGATAACAGCAATATGCTCCAAGGTTACACACATTAGTAACAACACATTGTTATGATTCTACGTTAATGGAGTGTGTCTGCTTTCCACCATATGTTATAATTTCCAAGCCACTAGATAGATGCCCTTTTTGAAACAGGGAAAATAGTGGCCTCAGCACAATTGGTTTGTATTCCAAGTCAGTCATGCTTTAGAAATATCATAAAGGTGTAGGAGTGTAGCTAATAGTCTAAGAATTAGACTGGATATCTGGGAGTGGGCTGAGAGGATCGGATAGTAAGCATAGGACCCAGGCTTTCATGCATACTAGGCAAGCATTCAAGCGTTACGCTTTATCCCTGGAACCTGGAATCCTTTGCAGGATTACCTATGCTAGTAGCCAATGACGATGACTTAGAAACTATGTCACAACACCTTTAAATGATTTATAATGAAAAATAGCAGTGCATAGACACAGCAGCAAAGCTATGTAGATGGGAGGATATTCTCTGACAGTTCACAGGCTACATCTAATCCACAAATAGGCATTTTTGTTGTTGATAACATCAGTTTTAAAAGATGGTTTTGCTGTTGCTTTTTAAAACCCAACAATTGCCTGGCATGGTGATGCATTCCTTTGATCCTAGCATACAAAGAACACATACTCACACAATCCAAGGATTTTAAATAAAATTGAAAGTTTAGCTTAAAGGAATGCAGGCCATCCTAAGATGGAAGTGACCTTTTAGGGTATAAGCCTCTGCAGTATTGGGACTAAATTGAAAGTCTTGAAGAAATCTTAACATAGCCCCTCCATTCCCTAGCATGAAAACTCAAGATGGACTGAAGAGATTAGCATTCTCACAGATCACCACTAAACAAAAAACATTCTTCTCAAGACAACTGAAACAATAGAAGAATTTAGGGTGGGCAAAATATGTGCATGCAAACTTTCATGGACTAAATCCAAAAAAATAAAAGATACTATAGGAAAATTTAAAGTGGAAAAAACTTAAAAAGTAAAAAAAGGTCAATAGCTTTTTAAAGTCTCCTGTCTGAAATGCATAGAATAGGGAAAATGCAAACATATGATTTACACAAAAGTTGGGAAAATAAGCATGGAAAAATATTCAGCCATCTAATAAACAGTAATTACAATAATTAAATCAAACTGGACTAAGGGTATAGCCAGTGTAGAGTGCTTGCACAACACACATTTGATGTTAGCACCAGAAAGGAAAAAAGAAAAACAGGAAAAACTAGTTATGACACAAGATTGGTGAAATTATGCAGATCTGGAGCTCTGCGGCATCTTGTACCTTTGGTGGCACTGAGACTAGTTTCTGCCATTTTTTAAAGGTCATTTCAAACACCATCAATCACCAAAATAGTTATAGCCACTGGTTTCTGCCATTCTTCAAGGGTCATTTCAGACATCATCAATCCCCCAAATAGTTGTAGCCATTGACCTGATAACCACGCCCAAAGAAGTATTTACTGCAATAATCCAAAATGATGTTTAACTGATAAGACTTTTCTACTGCAGCAATATTTATTACATATAATAAAGTATAATCATAAACAACAGTTTGAGAGTAGTAAATTATAATAAAAGAAGCAATAGACTTAATCCATTGAAGCTAACAGATTTTAGAAATTAATATTAAAGGTATGTTATTGTTTTTTGTTTTTCAAAACAGGGTTTCTCTGTGTAGCCCAGGCTGTCCTGGAACTAGCTCTGTAGACCAGGCTGGTCTCAAACTCACAGATATCTGACTGCCTCCACCTCCTGAGTGCTGGGATTAAAGGTGTGAGTCACCACTCACTGCCTGGCAAAAGTATTACTTTAGAAAAGACTTGTTTAAAAGAAAACATAGTGTTTACCACTCTAGAAAAATATATATGCCAATGATCTTAGTTCAGAAGAGAAGGGAGAATTTTAAAGCAATTGTACGAGACCAAGCATGGTAGCTCATATAATCCCAACACTACAATCCCAACACTCAGGAGACTGAGGCAGAAGGTTTTCCATGAGTTCACTGCCAGTTTGAACTATAGTGGGTTCCTAGCCAGCCTAAGCTACAATATGACTCTGTTTCAAAAAAAAAAGTGTTTGTCCTATATTAAAAGGATATAGTAGTCTCAGATTGAACTGCTTCTAGCTCCTCAGATGGGAGTGGGGCCTCATGAGTTCTTTATTTATCCATGATGGAATATTGTACATTCAGTCTTATACAGGTAAGCATCACTGCCATGTCAT